TTTCTTCTTTGTCAATAGTTTCAAAATTTTAATACATCCTAGCATCAAATCTAAAGTCCAAAGTCTAGAGTATCATCTAATTTAGATATGAGTGAAATTCAAGGCATAATTTATTGTGAGGCAAATTCATTCCAGCTGTGAACCAGTAAAGTTAAAGCAATTTATTTACTTCCAAAATAGTGGACCAGGCATAAGACAGACATTCCCACTTGAAAAAGTCAAAATGGGAAACAAGATAAATATAATATCCCAAATGAATAATTAAAAAAAAAAGAACAGAGCTAACAATATTAAGTCTTAAGACTCAAGAATAGCATTCTACTTCCTGTGCTGTCTTGAGGACACACTGGGAAGTTGTACCCACCAAAATCAGGGAGCTCCACTTCTATGGGATTGCCCAATGCTTCAATTCACTCAGAAGTCTCAGGCTTGCATTTCTCCAAGTCTCGCATTGTACACTGGTAGTTCTATAGTTCTGGGAATGGGAGGTAACCCCACTTCCGTGACTCCATGAGTCATTGCCCTAGTGAGAGTTCTCTTCTTTGGTACTACCCATGTGACAAGTATCTGCTCGAGACTCAAGGAAGTGCTCAATATCCTTTGAAATCTAGGTAAGGGAAACTATATCCTTATAGCTCTTGAATTCTGCAAATCTATAGGCTTAATATCACAAGGACACCTCCAATATTTGTTGCTTAGAACTTCTGGAGCAGCACGTGCAATGAGCCCAAATCATTCTCTAATCAGGAATCCACTTCTCCTATTAAGTAAGTCACTCTTGTTACAACAGCATTAATCTGTTCTTGAGGGTAAAGCCCTCATGACATAATCACCTCTTAAAAAGGCTACAATTGCAGTTAAATTTCCATGTGAATTTTGGAGGAGACATCCATAAACCATAGGACCATGCATTTAAGAATCTTCCAGAAATATGGTGATAGCAAGTCCTCAAGACTTGCTTCTATGTGATATGCTTTTCTTTTGCTGCTTTTAGAATTCTCTACCTTTGATTTTTGACAGTTTATTTATAATTTGTCTTGGTGAACTCTTCTTCAGGCTGAATTTGACTAGAGATCTCCAAACTTCCTGCACCTAAATGTTTACATTTTCCCCCAGGTTTGGGGACTTTTCACATTATTTATTTAAATAACATTTCTTTCTCTTTCTGTGTCTTCTTCATTTGGGATGCCTGAATTCTACAGATGTTTCCTTTCTTTTTAAAAAGTATTTATTTCTTAGTTATAGGTGGACACAATGTCTTTATTTTTATTTTATATGGTGCTGAGGATCTACCCAGTGCCTTATGCATGCCAGGCGAGCACTCTACCTCTGAGCCACAACCCCAGCCCAATGTTTGCTTTCTTGATGTCACATTAGATCCTCTACACTTTCCCCTCTCCTTTATTTCATATTTATTTTTCTACTATGGGTGATTTCAAATGATTTGTATTGATTTCACTTATTCTTTTATCTTATTTTTATTTTTTCTTCTTCTTTTTTTTTCTTTTTTAACATCTCTAATTCTTTGCGGTCAGTTGTATTTCTTTGGTGGTGTTGTATTTCCATGATTCTTCCAGATCTTTGTAGTTTTGTGAAAGTGACTGCAAATTTTAAGAAATATTCACCTCCTCTAGATTTTATAGACTAGTGTAGATAAGGAAAGACCTTCCTCTGCTATGGATAATGAGGGTATGCATACTGGGGTACAGTGTGGCAACAAATGTTGTGTCTTAAAGTACCTTTTCTAGGAGTATGCAGTGATTCCATATCTGGGAAGAAAGATGTCTTGTTGGGTTAGGCAGCTGAGATCTGGTATGTTAGCAACTGCAAAAGATGTAGAAGGTCAACAGTGCTGTGAAAATTGTTGAAGTCTTGATATACCTATATGTTCAGAGACTGGATGAATACCAAAGCTAGAAATGTGTACACCTATATTGAAGAGGCCAGTTTATGCACATATATGTTGGGCAGAGGCCAGCTATGGACTTATAGAGGGTGACAAGGTCTAGAGCCATTGGCAATGAGTGGTGCCAACAGTGGCCACAAGCTTGAAGGGCCATGAATCTTTCTCAGTTGCAGAGCCCTCTTCAGGCTAATGACAAGGTTCAAACCATCTGTTTATAAATGGACAGCTACACATCTGAGCTGGAGTTGTCCATGTGTCCAAAATTGCTTGGACCAGCTATTGGTATAAGCATGGTAATGAGAGCAGTCTCTGAGGTACAAGGCTACCTGCTTATCTATGTATAACTGTGGTGGCCAGGGTTGGCATCTGACTATATGAGTAAGCCTTGGTTGTACATGGTAGTGAGGATGTAGACTGTGGTGGAGGACTATGGAACTGTTGTGGACACATGCATGGTAGTTGCCCTGGGTCACGGAGCAAGAGCTCCCAAGGAGACAGTAGCTATGATGGCTATAGGGAAAAGGGCTGGTGGCTTAGGCACTTAGAAAAGGCTGGGTATCTGGGACAGAGTGAATATGGTAGGGGCAAGCTCAAGTAACTCCAGACCCAGAGGAGAGAAAGAGCTTGTGGGTCAGGGACCTAGAATTTATGAAGACTGTAGGACTGGGGCACCTATTGTAATAGCAATTTGGTAACACCAAGTAGCCTCAGGGAGCAGGGAGAGAGAGAGCATGAATTATGTAACTGTAGATTGTTAAGGCAAAAATAAATCAAAACCCAACAATATGGGAGGCTAAGACAAGAGAATCACAAGTTTGAGTTCAGCCTCAGCAACTTTGTGAGGTTCTCAGTAACATAGAAAGATCCTGCCTCAAAAATAAAAACTAAAGGGCTGGGATGTGACTTAGTGATTAAGCACCCCGAGTTTAATCCCTGCCACACATAAAAAAAAGAAATAACAAAAAACAAACAAACAAACAAAACCTCCGGCACCCTCAGTGACAGGTTGTAGTGGGTCTGTTGTTGCTAAGTTAGTAGTTAGTTTTCTCAGCATTGATAACTGCTAGGGTCCTTTGCAGAACAAACTACTATGGCCTGTGACATTGAATATTGAGTAGTACTTGGTAGTGGAAGTTCTAGGTGGTACCCAACAGCCATGAGGGCTGTTGAAGTCCTCAGCAGAGAGATGCTGGATTCTTTTGCTAAACAGGTCACTGGGGCGTCACAGTGATTCCCAGTGCCTGGCTGATACTGATGCCCATTCTTCTTCCTTGTTCTTTACTGTCTCCAGACATCTCAGCCATCCCATCCTCTAGAAACCTGGGTGGTGTGAAACTAAAGTTGGTCATTTGAGCAATGTTCTAAAAAGCTGAGGAATCTGATTGTATATGCTGCTCTCCTTTTCCCCACAAGGGGGCATATGAGCCAAAGAAGTGCTTTCTCTGACCTGAGCAGAATTTGGGGGATGTAAATGAGACAGGAAAAATGAAACTGTTATTCCAACCCTTTTTGTGTAGTTATTCTTAGGTTTTTTTCTTCAGCTATATTTCTGTGGCTTCTTAAGTGGACTCCTACTCTCTTTCTGAAATATTTTTGTTCATGAATGGACAGCTGCCAAAGTTTTGGAATCTGACATATCTTACTGTGACACCTTGCTGATGTTCTCTACTGAAAATTTAATTTTTTTAAGTATTTAATGCTTTTTGATACTATTATGAATGGTATTTTTTGAGGTTCAACTTTATGTTGTTTTTGCCATATAGAAAAACAGTTGATTTTTGTACATTGGCTTTGTATCCTGACACATTACTGATGTTGATACTGGTTGGTATTATTGACACTCAGAGAAAAAGGCTAAGCTACACTGCTTTTTGTTCCACCAATATTTGGAGTCAATTTGGTAGGCAAATGGGTTTAATTCAAGCTGACTTTGAAGGAAGATATAATATCCTTTTTGTTTTGAAATTTCCATCATTGGGAGACTCTAATGAGAGGAGTTTCTAAGAGAGAAGAGGTGGCAAAACTAGGCAGGAAATATACATACATAGGTTCAATTAGGAGCTTTGTTTCTGAACTTAGGAGAAAACATTCAATATTTCACCCTTGAGAATGATGTTAACTTTTTGGAGGAGACAGATCCTTTGTATTTATGGCATATTATTCTTTTTGTATACTGTTTTTTTGTTTTGTTTTGTTTTTTTGTTTTGTTTTGAAAAGTACATGTGTAATAACTTCATCTTGATTTTTTTGTCTATTTTCTATTGCTTCTTTTTCTATCATGTTTTGTTCATGTTTTATATTCTTATGTATCAGGTGATTTTTTATTTAGTATTTAGCAACATATGAGAAAAATAAGGGTTTTTTAGGCTTTGAAATTAATTAAATTTTATAGAAATGTTGAAAAAATAAAAACAATACAAAAGATATCCATATACTATTTACCCCCAGGTTCACTATTGTTAACATTTCACCTTTTTGTTTTGTTTCATCATTTGAGTATGCTCTCCCTATTTCTCAACTGTTCTCTTTTCTCTATATGCATATAATACTTACATAGGTACACATACTCATACATTTTTTCCTCAGCACTCATCTTACACTCATCGTGGCCTAAATACTTCATGATATGTTTCTGAAGGTATATTTTATGAAGGTAATTTGAAGCTCTGGATAATGATTTCTTCAGAGAGATTTTATTATAATTTTCAGTTTTTCTAGCTGCTCTCAGTGGCAAGGTGTATTGAAACACCTTAGTTTGTCATTGACAAAAGTAGAATCTCTGATCTCTTTTTATGACCAAATATCATATATACTTGCCAAGCTCTCTTTTATTATTGTTAGAATCAGTCTCCTCTCATTACCTTTCTTTTTTCTACTTATTTTCTACTTATTCTATATTGAGTTTTACAGTTTGTTTCTCTAATTGTTAAATAATTTCTTTTCAGATGTTTATGATTAAATTATGGATCAATTTAAGCATAATTGACATTATTTTAACATTCCTACATAAGAACATGGTCTTCCTTTCTATTATTTCAAGACTTGCTTTGGAATGCTGAGTAGCCTTTCTCTTTCATTTTTTTTCTGGCAATAGCAAGATGGATTCTGGATATACTCTGAATATTGCAACAACCATCTGGACGCCTGCATGGAGCTCTCCAAGCTGATGAAGGATAGTCGCTACCAGCACTTCTTTGAGGCCTGTCGCCTCTTGCAGCAGATGATTGACATTGCTATTGATGGTTTCCTTTTGACTCCAGTGCAAAAGATCTGCAAGTATCCCTTACAGTTGGCTGAGCTCCTCAAGTATACTGCTCAAGACCACAGGTAAGATAGGAGTGAGTTTATTTTACATGTTGATCCTTATTGAAGATGTATATCATTTTTACCTTTTCTGAGCTTCTGTTACCTTATCTGCAAAACAGCATGATACATGCTTGCTTACCTCACAAGGCTGCTTTGTGTGAAGTGAAGGAATATTTTTGAGAGTTGCTTGTGAAGTTGTAAATTGGTTCACACACACAAACTGCATGCACATTATTATTGTACAATGCATGCCCTACTCTCAAGCAGCAAAGATTTAAGCTTTTCCTTAGTCCTGAGCTTGGCTTCATGAATCAACCCTGATGCAATAAATGTTCAACTATATAATTCACTCTTGTTAAAAGACTCAAATGTCCTGGTGATAGTCTGGACAACTTGTACTAACTCTGAACTTCTGCATGGTCTTCTTTAGTGTTTTTACCTTACTGTGTCCCAACCCAGTTGTGTATTTTCAATAAAGCCAGAGTATGGCTATTGGAAAACAGACTGAGGCTTCCCCTGAATTTTCTTTTCCTATTTTTAAAATATTAAAAAATAAATAAGTACCAAGAATATAAATGATACCACTCACCTCCTACCATTAAGGTGCATGCTGCAGGTAATCTCTCAACAGTAGGTATGACCTACAATGAACATTCCCACTCTTTCATAGGTCTTACCTCAGACTTTGACCCCTACCTTATTTCTAACTTTATTTTAATTAATTTTGAATCCCTGATCTTAGACTTGTTCAGCTCTATTCCTTGGATTGAGTACTCTAAGAAGAAAGAAGGGCTTTGCCCAATTTCTCATAGCTTTCACCATGACTCTTATTAGGCCCACTTTCTATTTCCATTTGGCTCCATTGCCTGGCACATTTAGTGCTGATTTACAAATTCAAATGCATAAGGCCATGGGTGTGGACCAGTTGGTTTGGTTTAAGTTAGCTTCTAGGTCAATCCTCATGTTCATTTTCAAATTGATGTTGTTTCTTTAGTAAAGTATAAGTAATATGCTTCTGTGGTTCTGGAGCACTAGGCAAATTTCATATTTTAACACAAATGTAATAATACTTGACTTCCCTCTTGTATGAGTAACAGGGTCAATGATTGATCTGCCTTCCTTGACCTGTTTGCTGTGAGGGAGGCAAGCGAAATAGGACTCTATTAAGGAGGACTCTACTCTCTTCTCCCTGAGGCAATGATATTAGATGCTTATTAGACCTGAAATTTGGAGATGACTACTAGGTCACACTTGAACAGACTTAGTACAGCCCATCACCAGAACTGAGTTCCAAGCTTTCTGAGGATCTATTTGCACTTGTGGGGGTGGTGCTAGGGATTGAACCCAGGGATTCATTCATACTAAGCAAGTGCGCTACTACTGAGCTACATTCCCAGCTGAGATGTTTTCTTGAGGGCAAATAAGGACATTGAAGAACCCCCTGATAAAATTAAAAGATATTTCAATATTAATTTAAAATACAGAATATATATCCTACCTAGATTAGGAAAGCTATCCCTTGTAGTCAGATTTCCTTGTTATACAGCTGGAAAGGCTGAGACCCAGAAAGGGAAAATGACAGAGTGCAAGTCTATATTGAAATAAGGACATAAAATATAAGTAATAGTCTCAACATCTAGCTTTTAAAAGCATTATCTAGGTAAATTTTGTGCACAGAGAGATTTGTGAGCCATCAAAGAGTGATTCTTATATGTTTTTGTATGACAGTTTTTAAATTGCCCTATATCTTGAGTATCTGTTGAATGGACATTGTCAAGAGCTCTAAAAATCTTACTTGTGGAATAATAATATTCACTAGTTAAATTATATATTCCATAATTGATCTTAAGAATTCCTTCCAGAAAGGCAGTTTTTCAGCACAGTTAAAAACTATATGAACCCCAAATTTTTGTAGAGTTTGGTGGGAGATGGTAAGATAGCTAGCTGCTCAGGAACGGGTTGAGGAAGATATATGTTCTAGACAGCTTGTCACAATCTCAAGATGAGTCATTAGTGAGAGCCACTAGAAAAACAGTTAATACCTAACATTCATTATTGCTCAGAATTAAAACAATTTTTCCAATAAGTTTCTTGTGACAGAATAAATTGGTTAGGTGGTGTAACCTATAACTGGAGGTGATAGAGTACAGTAGTTTTTGAGGTCCATGGATCTGGAAGTTACATAGGGTACAAATTAGTCATGGATACCAACTAAGGGGATATGCTCTATAACTTTTGCCCTGGCAGTTAGAACTCCCTTCCCTGTGCCTGTGTTTGGTCTACGACGTTCTTCAAAGTATTCAGAAAGAAAAAGGCAGTAATGGTACCTCTTCATTTTCCCCTTCTATTTTCTAATTGGTGCTATGAAAGTGAGCAGGTTAATGAGCACAAGGCATTTTCAGCTTTTCTAAGGAAAGGCATTAAGACTGAACTATAACACATGCCTTGCCTTCTCAGTTTATTGTAGCTCCATCCAATGGCTGACATCTTACTTTCATTTTGCCTTTCACAGGAGCCATTCAATTGGAAATCAGATCAGAGAAAAACAGAGAAAAGTGGGCAGAATGATTCAAACCTCAATACATGGATTATCCAAAGTCCTAGGAAGCTGGGCCAAGTGTTAAAATTCTGGGTTTAGGGGAAGACATCCCATGGGATTTCTCTAATAGAGAAATGTATGACTTGTAATAATACTGATAACACTTTTTATGGGCCAAGAGTAAAACAATTTACATGGATGATTGTATTTAATTTATTAACCCCATCAATAAATTCTACCACGATTCTTCACATTTTATATAAAAGAAAATTGAATTAAGGGGGGAGTGAGTGAGACTTGCCAAATAAGTGGAGTTTGAGCTCATAGACTTTGGTTTCAAATTCTGTATTTTTAAAAACTGTGTGCAGGAAGAAAAGTGACTTTGGACAGAGGCTCCCTAGAAATAATGGGAGAGATGATTATGTTGTCTGGACTATGTCATGTGAAAATCTCCCTTCTTAGACTTTGGTTGGTTGTATCAAATACAACACAACAATAGTGGTGTAAAAACAGAGAGGGACTCTATTTCTCATGCAAAAGAAACCATAAGTTAGGAGGCCCATGGCTGGCATAGTGGCTTCATGGTCATCAGTGACTCAGGCTCCTTTCAGCTTTCAGTTATTGTACCCCTGGGGTATTGGCCTTGTCATCATGATCCTGCATATGAGTACAGCTTCAGCCATCTATTCATATTTTAAACATCAGGATGTAGGAAGCACTAAAGAAGGATGTGCTCTGTTCCCTAAAGGAGATACCTCAAAAGTCCTGCCCAACATGATAATTCGTATAATCACTGGACAGAACTTAGTCATATAGTCATCCCTGCTGAGAAAAAAAGATAGGAAGTGTAGTCTTTTATTCTATGTCTCATGGGTTCCCATCTGAAAATCAATACTGTTACTAAGGAGAAAGAGTATAGAGTAGATGTTAAGATTGGCATCTAGAACATTGGTTCTCTGGCATATTGGTTCATCCAACTTGCATTCTTGTTTCTTCACAGTGATTACAGATATGTGGCAGCTGCTTTGGCTGTCATGAGAAATGTGACTCAGCAAATCAACGAACGCAAGCGACGTTTGGAGAATATTGACAAGATTGCCCAGTGGCAGGCCTCTGTCCTAGACTGGGAGGTAGGATTCTTACCAATAGGGGTGTTGGGGATTCCAGGGAGCTTGCTGAAAGCTCAACTAAGCCAAGGGGGGGAACAAAGAGGAATTAGATTTTAGGAGCAACCGGAAGGATTTAGATTAGGCCCAAAGCAAAGCTTCCTGCTAATGAGAGGTATTAGGTAATTAATAGCTTTCTAAGAAGATTAGTGAAATCTTTGTGACAATAATTCATTAAGAAAAGAAAGGGGATGAGGATGTAGCTCAGTGGCAGAGTGCTTGCATTGCATGTGTGAGGCACTGGATTCGATCCTCGGCACCACATAAAAATAAAAAATTAAAATAAAAGCATTCTGTCCATACACAACTAAAAAAAAATTAAAAAGAAAAGAAAGGTTTATCTCTTTGAGTATTGTTTGGAAACAACAATTGAGTTAAGTCAGTAGCCCTTCAAACATTTTTCAAGTCCTAGATTTATGACCATGGGATGCACACTTGGATAAGTAGTAGTATGTACTAATATACTCCTAGTCACCGAATATGTGTGTTATGGTTTGAATGGTAAATGTTCCCTAAAGGCTCATGTATTGAATACTTGGCCCCAGTGTTGGCAGCAGGGTTCACAATTTTTTTTTTTTTTTTGCTTTCTCTCAAACACACATTCTCTCTGTGTCTCTGTGTACTTCTGGCCACCATGAGGTGTGCAGCTTTGCTCTGCCATGTAATTACGCCATGATGTTCTGCTTCACCACAGGCTCATAGTAGTGGAGCCAGTGGATCCTGTATAGAAACCTCTGAAACTGTGAGACAAAATAAACCTTTCTTCTGTATCTTGATTTTTTCAAGTATTTTCTCACAGTGATAGAAAACTAACTAACACAATGGGGTTGGTTCTCTTGTTCTTAACCATTTGGGACAGCAACATACTTCTTTTCTTGTTGGTGAGATCATTTTGTCCTGACACAGTCACTAGGTCTGTCCAAGGCTAGACATGCTATAGGGAGAGGGTGGAAATATTATGCCTTGTGGTCACAGTGTAGAAGTAGAGGCAACTCCATTGCAACTCTATTGGCCTATTCCAAGTGGACTGTCATCAGCCTTATACATAGATACTTAACCAAGTTCTAGACCAAAAAAAAATCATCTTTCTTTTTTGCAATACCTCTGTTCCTCCTCAATGTAGATGTTGGAAAAGGCCACAATTCTGATCAGCTTACACATTTTGGGGTCCTATTTGAAGGATAGTTTCCTCATAAAAGAATATTATAGCAGTGACTCTTTGAAATTTACAGAAAGAAATGAATTCACATAATGGGACCCTCTTGCTTGTAAGATTAAGCCAGTACTGACAAAGATTTACTCAGAAGTTGTGGATTCTCCTTCCCTTGTATCTTTTTGCTTTGGCCAGTTTCCTGATTCAAGGTAGAGGTCAGGGCCAAATGCCTTCTAGCAAGCCCATGAACTCTGAGGCATTCTGAAATTGTGGCTACTTAGAAGGCCTTTGTCTCTTACCATGGCAGGGTTCTATGTAAGAGAAGGTGTCCAGGAGCAGTTGTCTTTCTATTCCTGGAACATCTTTCCAAATCTCCATTCCTAAAAGACTTTTTAATTCCTCCATGTGCTCTGTGCCTCTAATACCTGGATCATAGGCCATGGGGGACAAATAACAGTTTCAAATCCCTTGGCCTACAGCAGGAGCTTCATTAGCACCCAACTCTGTAGTCCTGAGCTGTGATTTAAAGGCTCAACATCTCAGAAGACATTTCATTTATGTTTCTCTAGGGAAGGGGTACAAAAAGTAATTTTAATTGTTCCTTTGTTAGTACAATAGATTGATTCTGTAATCTCATCTAAACCTGTACAACACTGCACCTTCCTGCTTGATGAAGCCTTTACTCATATAAATTGGTGTCTTATTTCTTCTGGTCTGCTATAACAATATCATAGACTAGGTGGCTTGTAAACAACATAGATTTATTTCTCACAGTTTTAGAAGCCTTCAGAAGACCTCACCTTCAAAGAATGTAGATAAAAGATTAGATTTTAATAAAAAATTGGGGGGGGGCATAAACATTGAGTCTGTAATGACTTGGAAGGAGAAAAAAATGCTCTTCTCAGACTCTGTAGTCACTGAAGAAATTGTTAGCTCTATGGGTGTTGCTGTCTAGGAAGCTTTTCCTCTAGTGAGGGCTGATTGGTACATTTCAGAGGCCAGAGCTTTGAAGGTATCTGTCATGTTTGCTGAATCTGGTCTTAAAGACTACAGAATTTCAAGAGTTCCCGGGCTCTTAGAGCACTCCCCAACAGCCCTGACCATGATAGTGTGTGCATAAATACTCATTTATACTCACATTCATCCTTATTCACCTTCCCATACCTTGTCATGATAGTGAGGAACTGAGAAGCAGAGAGAGACTTATTACTGACCAAGGTCACACAAGTCAGTCACAAAAGTGGAACTTGAATCTAGTCTTCTGATTCCCTTTGTCGTTTTATTTTCATTACTAAACCACAAATTTCTCTAACCTTCTGCCTCCTGCAGCCCAGTTGCTGTCCTTTGTAATGTTATAGCAACTTGTTTTTTCAATAGAATCTATGTTTAAACAAGAGAGTAAGTCTACCTTGGAGAGAGGAGGATCCAAATACCTGTACAACTAAAGATGGATGAGTACAGAAGAGTCTTTCCCTGAAAGCAATAGAACATGGACATTCAAAGGATTGCTGCCTCTTGGGATAGGTGACAGAACCTCTCTGGTTCTCTGATATAGGTTATTTGTGTATTCCATTTGCCCAAGAAATTGAAAAGGCAGATAGAGAAAGAGAGAACAAGAGAGAGAGAGAGGGGAGACAGAAAAAGAAAAGCTCTTGCCATATTGCTATGGGCTGATATGGACAAGCCTTACAAACCAAAAAGAAGCAATGCTTTGCTATCTCTGCCATCCCCTTGCCTCCCAGATGTTTGAACAAATAGAGTGTCTGTCAAAATCATCCAAATAGTAATTTTAGCTTCATTTGTTAAATGAAAACAGGAGTCATAAGAGAAACCTTTAGAGTTTAATCTCCCTTGAAGAGGAAATGGGAGGAGTGGTGAAATGTAGGCAGTTGATGCTTGCTCAATAAATCACAGCATCTGGCTGGAGAGCAGGAAGTCTTGTATTATTTCAAGACCTGTTTTTTCCCTCATATTTCTCCATGAACATTTTGAGTCTCTTTACCCAACTCCAGTTATCATCCCTGACTCTTGTCATCTTGAAGTACCCTTCCCTTTGCCGCATCCTCAGGACTTCTTAAAAATAAATAGATAAGTCAACTTGTTACCCATCTCTCTAAGTAATAATATAATAGAGCAGTTTCTGTGAGCAGCAGGTAGAAATACCTGTTCTCAGGAATTACAGTTTCTGGAAAATTTCTATTTATAATTTCTCTGATGCCGAGGTTTAGTTGAACTGTCACTTTGGTACCTTTCAGATTCATTAAATCCTCTTGAAACGAAGGGAAAAGGAACATATCCCTGACAGTTTCTTTTAAATCTTTTTCCTCTGTATAATTTTAGCAGGAGCCCATGTTCACAGCCCATGTTCAGGAGTTTAATTTTATGTGGTTATAATATCCGTCTTATGGTACCCATCCCCTTCCATCCTGGTTGTATAATACCCAAGGTCCTTTCCAGTTTACTACTGGATGATTGAATCCAAAGAAGTTGGAGGAAATACAAAATCCCAATGTAATATAGGCAGCAAAATCATTTATTTAAAAGCTTCTAGAACCAGAAAATCAAATGAGGGACTGGATGGATTGTTTATTTCTCTGCCCTTCTGTCAGTAGGCAGTGTTGAAGACAAAGTGGATCAAAAAGGATGGTGTTTACCTTGCCTTATTTCTCTGGATCTTCTCAGACCACAAACACGTATCAGTCAGCCTGTAATTAGAGTGGAATAAAGTTGAGCAAAATGGGATGAATTATAATTCATTAGAAAAAGGTAAAGTTTCTTCTCTGAGACTTTGGCTTCAGAACAGGAAGGCAAATGAACTGGTAAGAAAGCTCTGTGTAGTTTTTGATAGCCACTATTTATTTAATATTCCTTGGTTCATTTATTAAATAGATATTTATTGAGTACCTAATCTGTGTCAGGTCTCATTCTGGATTCTGCAAATATGTCAATGAATGGGACAAAATTCCCACCCTTATTGAATTTATATTCCAGTAGGGAAGAAAGGAAAGAAACAAGCATATACTATGTTGTCAGGGAGTGATAAGGGCTATGAAGAAAATTAAAGTAGGCTAACAGGCTAGAGTAATGGGGTAGTACCTGAGCAGATGACTTTTGAGAAAAGATCTGAAGAAGATTAAAGAGCATATCATTCTTGGAACACAGAATTTCAGGCAGATGGAAGAAAAAAATACAAAGGCCATGAAATATGGAAATATGTGCTCAAGGAATGCCAAGGACTAGACCAGTTTGGCCATAGTGGCATAAGAATGGGAGAGAGTAGGGGTAGATGAGGGTATAAAAGTAATGAGAGGTAAGATTGTGTCTTTATAGGACTTTGGCTTTCACTTTGGTTGGGAGCTACTAGATGGTTTTGAGCAAATATGTGATTATTAACATCTCTTTACCAGTCCCTGTGTACTAGTCATTGAGGATGTTTTAGTCAGCTTTATTTGCCATTGTAACCAAAAGACCTGAGAAAAATTTTAGAGAAGGAAAAGTCTATTTGAGGCTCACAGTTTCAGAGGTCTCAGTTGTTAGATAGCTGGCTCCATTGCTTTGGCCACAAGGTGTGGCAGAACATCAAGGCAGAAGAATGTGGTGGAGGAAAATGGCTCAGAACATGGTCACCAGGATTCAGAGAGCTCCACTGACTTACAACAAAGTAAATACTGCAAAGGCATGTACCCCCAATGACCCACCTCCTCCAGCCATACCCTACCTAACCTAGAGTTGCCTCTCAGTTATTCCCTATTAGGTGATTAATGTACTGATTAGGTTAAACTCTCATAACCCAATCATTTCCCCTGTAAACTTTCTTGCATTTTTCTCAAACATGAGCTGTTGGGGCACACCTCATATCTAAACCATAACAGAGGATATTGGAATCAATGCTATATGCCCTTGGTCATCTAATGGGGGGAAGATACATTCATAGCAAAGAGAACAGCATGGGCAAAATCCTGAAGGAATGGAACAGAAGGCCCAGGGGATTGGGAAGTGGGAAGGTATTGCAGTTTTGGGAGCAAGACAAACAGATACATACTTGGTGCTGGTTGGGCAGAAGAGACAAGAATTAGAGCTGTGAACAATGAGAGGGCCCTTTTCATCACAATAAAGTTTGATGTGTTCTAGCAGCCATGTGGAGTGGAACAAACAGTAGATATAATTATTTGTTCCACTTTAAATGAGGAAAGAGATTGAAAGAGATACATTCTAAGGGCACAGAGTTGAGTTGATAGCAGCACTAGACCCAGAGCTCAGCTCTTTTGAGATTCTTGCCTCAGAAATCTTCAATTGAAGCTGGTTGTTCCACTGGGGTAGGTGTCATCATTCTAATGCAGTATGGTGAATAAGAACATGGGCTTTAGAGGGAGTCTGGCCTGAGTTCTTCCCCTTTGGGAAAGTTACTTCCAATTTCTCTGATCTTGCTTTTGGGGAATAAAATAGTACAAACCTTATCAGATTATAGTGTTAGTAGGAAACAAGTTACATATAGTACCCAGGGCATGCAGCCATGGGATAATAAATATCATTTGTGTAGATCTTACAGTATGTGTACCTTCCTAGGCACTTTGTTATATATTAATTTAAATAGTTATCACAATAGGGTTGATAATGTTTTTATCCTTATTAAGTATGAGGTAACTGAGGCACAATTAGGATATTTAGATTGCTTTAGCTCACTCAGCTCGGTGAGTATATAAGGTTTTTTTTTCAATTTTTTTTTCTTGGAATTATATGGGGCAAGTACTTAAAATAAAATTGGACTGCCCCTTGCTGGTGCAGTGGGTAGACCAGATAATTCTGACTATTCCCTCTGGTCTGATCATCCTCACTTGAGCAATTAATACCTTAAGGCATCTTTGCTATATTTTTATATTATTGGCTCCTTCGATAGCTTTCTTTCAAGGTGGGGCATGGTAGACAGGTACTACTATTAACTTCCCATACCTCCAACAGGAAAGCCAACACTATTTCCCAACTTGGAGGAAAGTATTTCATTCCCTCAAGTAGGATTGTTTACCTAGATCTTAGATAATCCTGAAGCTGAGCCTAGAGTTGAAACAGTATTTCTGAGCTTCTTTTAAATTCTATTATTAGAAAATAATTCCACTGAGTTCCCTTTTTTCCCATCACTTAAATTAGAGCAAATGGTATACTCATGAACACCATTTCCAGATGTCCCCCACTATGGCGTACCATCCTGCCTGGGCTATTTGCCTCTGATTATTTATGGGCAGATGAAGGGACTTATATTTCTAATCATTCCTTGAAGCTTTTGCATATAAGGCTTGACATCTTAGTGTTGGAGTATTAGGTCTGGGGCTATAAAGATAATCCTTTTCAGTTTAGAAAACTGAAAGCCAGGGAGAAGACCTTCCAGTGACATTTTGGCCTAGAGACAATATAGGATAGAAAGTGAGTACAATCTCTGGAACCATAGAAATTAGAGTTGAGTTGTAGATCTGTAGCAAAGTAGCTGGGTGATCTTGGCCTAATGCTTAAACTCTCTGTACTATCATATTGGAGTAAAAATATCCACCCCATGGACAATTATATGGTAGACTGGAATATCTAGCATATAGGAACTCAGAAAATATTAATTCTTCTACTTCATGGGCTACTGCTCTTATTTCACATCTTCACATAGACCTTAAAAACTCTTATCTCTGTGATCTTGACTTTGGTTTGGTTTTCCTTGTATTCTATGATTTCTGAGCCCACCTACCTTAATCTCCCCTGCTGAGATGTAAACTCCTTGAAAACGGGGACCACATCTGGCTTGGCATCTACAGACATCCCATCATACTTCTGCCCTAGCAGACTTGCCTTAAAGAAGGGGGCCTTGCTGGGTATGGTGATGCATACCTGTAATGTCAGTGAGTTGGGAAGCTGAGGCAGGAGAATCACAAGTTTGAAGACAGCCTAGACTCTCTCTCAAAATTTAAAAAAAAAAAAAAGGATTAAAGGACTGGGAATATGGCTCAGCGATAAAGTGCTCCTGGGTTCAGTCCCCAGTCCAAAAAAGAAGGGGAGCCTTTGGAAACATTATTGAATTCAATTAGGGAGGAGTCAAGTGTCTTAGTACTTTTTTTTCAAATCTGATTCTATGTAGCAGAGGAGTTAAAGGTTCCCTGGATAATAAACCAAGGAAGAATGTGGTAGTGAAGTTTCTTTTTTTAATCAGTGAATTTTAATGAACTAAGAGGAGAAAGAAAAAAAAAAACAATTATAAGAGGGGGAGTGAATTATTCTCTTTTTCTCTGTTTATCATCTTTTTTCTTGCCCTTCCCTGTTCCCTTCTACTTGTCTGGGAAGCATAAAAAGTTCTACCACTTGCTCAATTTTAGATACTGAGAGAATAGAGCAGGGATTGAGAAACTGGAGCATAAAAGGATTCTTAAGGAAGACAGATGGATAACAAAGAATGAGAGAACATGAGTAAGAGAGTACATAGAAAGGCTGTATCAATCCTGGGTAGTAAGGCCCGTAGCCTCAAAGTGAAAAAGAATATGGTTGTAAAGCTTTTCGAGGACTCCAAGGAGTCCCTTTCTCCCTCCTTTTCCACCAGGCCCTCTCTGGCTTCCTCTTATCCTAGCTTTGGGTGATTCCAGGTAAGAAATGGGACCATCCCTCCTACCTGGCTGCCTCTCACCATCACATGTCCTTCCTAGGGCGAGGATATCCTAGACAGGAGCTCGGAGCTGATCTACACTGGGGAGATGGCCTGGATCTACCAGCCCTATGGCCGCAACCAGCAGCGGGTCTTCTTCCTGTTTGACCACCAGATGGTTCTTTGCAAGAAGGTAACCCCACCTTTTCTTCCCTGAGGGAGATGGACACCTCATGAGGCACCATCCCCTTCCTTTTCCTCATACCCAGGCTGCCAGTGAAGTGGTCAGCAACTGCTAGGAGAAAAACAGGCTGGAGTTTGGCAGCAATTCCATATAAGGAGCACTGGTGTGGCATGAATATCATAGGCAATGAACAATTTTGTCTTGGTATCTATTTTTCACCTTTGCTCTCATGACTTGAATGGTACTTCTTTCTCATTCCCTTATACCCAGATCTGATAACCAGCAAGTTTAAATCAGTTGTGAAAAATATCATAATAGTTTCATCCCAATTGGTAAACAATAGCTTCTTCAGTACCTTCCCCCATTTACAATCTGATGTCTCTGGCCAACTGGCCCCTCTCTTCTATAGAAACCAACAAAGGGCCTACTACTTTTGCCCAAGCAGGTAGGTACCTCTGTGATACAAGATTTCTCCCTGTTTCCTGCATTGGTTCATTGGTTCCTCACAACTCCCAACCATCTCTCCTATATTACCCTTTCCCTGTAATACATTTGAGGAGAAATTTGTACTTCTCAGTTACCCCCTTGATAACTGAATGTTGGTTTCTTAGCCTTTTATTCTTGATGAAAAAGGACAGTATACATTCTTATCCTGAATCCTTCTGAGGGATCCTGATGGAATACTGTTCCCCCTACCTTCTTCCTCAGGATACAAAGTTCAGACCACTTTTCTCTCTAGTGACTGGCTAGGAAGAATTTGGGAGCAGGGAAAGTAAAAGATGAGGGAGAAACCTAAGAGTACTTAACGTGAATTTCCTAATTCACTGTCTTCATACCTAGTCCCTTTGTTCTCTTTCTCATCCATAGTGAATGCTTCTGAAGAGGAGTGCTGAGTCACAACATTACAAATTAAACACTGTTATTTTTCTGGCCTGGAACATAACCACAGATTTGGTTTAAGCCTCCTAAACTCTGTGTGCATGTATATGTGTACCATATCTTGCATTAAATAGATTCAGACTGCCTTAATATTTTATGGCAGTAATGATATTGAGGTTGCCAATGTAAAAAATAGAGCCAGCTAGGAGAGCATAAAACTGACTACAAGTGGATTGAGACCCAACTCTGAATGCTGGCTCTGGAACCAAAATAGCAAGTTAGTTCATAGGAATAATAATTGCCTCCATCTGGAGTTAACCCTGGAAGAGAAAACTTTTTTTGAATATGGATTTCAGCCCCAAACTAATATCTATCTTTAGACTCCTCAGTTCTCAGGTCTTCCATACAACTGGAAGGCAAATTTTTGAAGATTATTTTAGGCAACTAAGGGAATTCTCAACATATAAACCATGTCACCAACAGTCATGTGCCCGTTCACTACTAAATTATGTTCATGCTCAGAACAACTAGTCATTGAGAAAGACTTCAAACAGGAACTTGGTTTATTTTAGGGTCCCCAATCCCCAAGACCATGTTGATTTAGACATCTTTCATCAAACACTGCAGTTACTTTAAGTAAAATGTGAATCTAGGCTCTGGAAAGCAGTGCTTATAGGTGGTATGACCAGGACCTAGGATGCTAAACACTAAGGCAGAGGCTAGGAATAAAGGGAAAGAAACAAGATGAACAGTGGGCTAAGTTTAGGAATCAAGGGACAGAAGACCAGGGTGAAGTGATGAGTCAACTCGAAGCCAACTAGTAGGAGCCAATTGTAAGGAAGAAACTAGAAGTCAAAGGAGGACTTGGGAATTCAGACCAGCCACACTGGCAGTATGGGAGAAGTAGATAACAGGAGTGACAAAAATGAAAGATACCTTGTTGCAGGCATAGTTTCCCTCAGAAGGGAGATATCTTCTTCTATCTTGAAGTCTTTCTCCCCAGAGTCTTTCTCCCCAGAGTAAAGCTAGTCTAGGGTCAGTGTATAAGGGTACCAATTCCATATACCCAGTTCTTCATGACACTGGCTTCCCAGAGCATAAGAAACTACAGGCTGTTGGTCATTAAAAATATCTGATGTTTACTGTTGAGGCTGTGGTTGAAGATTTCTATTTGATATCTACAATAGGACTTCCTATTCATCAAATAGGAGTTAATCTTGAAAAATGATCATGCAGTGCAAATAAGTTATGTAAACAGACAAGATATTTTGTTTGCCAAATTGCTTAGGGACCACTTTCCATTACTATAAAAGATTTTCTTTTTGAGATAGAACTGAGAGAAATAGATAAGGCTCCCTGGAGATGAGGATTCCTTTGACAAAGGAAAGGAAGGGGAAGGACCAGGACTAGAAAGAGGTGAGGAAGGTTTCTCTTTACTCACCTTATTCACCTTAGGAATCCAATTTAAAATAATACCTGAAAGCTCATCAGTAATTTTAAAAATGTATTTACAAGGAAAAAATGGGGGGAAACGCAAGCTAAGCCAGATGTGGCTACAGTAAGCTTTCTGATTAGATCATATTTAAAGAGGAATAAGTAAGTGCCCCTAGCAAGTGAATAGGTAATAAAACATTTTATATGTGATTTTTAACAGTAGTGGCAAAAATAGTTTCATGAGTCCTACAATGAATAAAGTTGGTATAAAAATGTTCAATTCTATATCAGTGATTTTAAAAGATCTATTCAAATAAAGAAAAAATTAAAAAAAAATGATAGTCTGATAACCCCTTGCCTTAGACAGATGGTTTAATGTTAGCAGAGTAACATAAATTCCTTCAATGTCAAGGCAAGGAGAGCATAAAACTGACTACAAGTGGATTGAGACCCAAAGAATCTGAGGTTATAAGAAAACACTTCACTGCTCTGAAATATTTTTGAGTCCTATTCTGGGCCTGCAAACTCTGCCTTCATGGGGCTTATATATAGTCTAATAAAATTTAAGTAAGATTTAATTTAGAAATATATATTTCTTTACACTGAAATAAATCTCAGATATTCACAGTGGAATTTCTCTAGAATTATGGGTCTTATGAAATCTGTGAGAACACTATAGATAGGAAAATGTACCAGTTTTAAAAACTGAAAATAATATGTTATGGACAATATAGATTGATAAAAAAAATCATGAACTAGCATTTATTGAGTGCCTGTATGATTCTGTTCTAAGAACTTTACATTGAATAACCCAATTTAATCCACATAACAAATCTCTCAGGAAGTCACTGTCACTATTCCCATTTTAAAGATATGTAAATTGAAATATAGAGAAGTTATATAATTCCCCCAAGGTGATAATAGCTGACAAGTGATAGAATCAGGGATTGAATTCATTCAAGCTGGCTCTATTTTTTACATTGGCAACCTCAATATCATTACTGCCATAGAGCTTGTCAGAATTCTGTAATTATAAAATAATTCTATGAACATTTAGAAAAAGATGCAGCGACCATGAGGGCTCAGCATTTGGAGCAAGCCATGACTCATAAAGCTTCATTTCTATTTTGCCAGTAATTTGATTAGTGAATGGGAGGATTAAAACTGGCAGAGAGTATCTGGATTTTATTCTGGCATATCTGGATTTCATTCTGGCATATCAGATTCTCCCATAATTTCCTTGCAGAGAGAATAAATATGGAATAATAAGATATACAACTTATGGTCAGACAATTTGCAGTACAAATCTTGGTTCCAGAACTTACTGTATTATTTCAAGCAAGTGATCTATCATTTCCTATGCCTTCATTATATCATTTATAAAATGGGGAGAACAAATTCTGTACAGGATTTTTGTGAAGAATAAATGATATCAATGCAGATAAAGTACCTGTTAGAGTGCATGGAATCTAGTAGGAGCTTATTAATCTTGGAATTCCCTCATGCCCAAAAAGAAATAGGCAGATTTATAAGGTAACGTGGTCCCCATCTCTAGTTTCATCCAAATATGGGCTAGATGATTACCTGCCAGAGATTGCTTAGAAGACATTGAAATATTCCACCTGCTCTCTATCCAAAATCATGTGGCCCAGCCTATTTAACTCTTTATTCCCATTTATGCAAAAATCTCGCCATTTTATAGATTAGGAATTGGGAATGACTAAGCCACTTATAATCGTTTGTACAGCTTATAACTTAAGAGGACTAGAGGGAAAGAGAGAGAAGATAATTTTTTCAGTTTATATTATAGTACATGAGAAAGACATCCATGGCTTCTAATTATGTGACCCCTTCTTCAGCTTCCCTCACACCTTCTCTTTCCTTGTCATGTTTCTTTTGAGAAATCCAGGTAAGACTTGATTTCTTGTCTCTCAGCTTCTCTGCTAACTGTCCTTGCTCTTCTATGTCTCACTGCCTTGTCATGTTAGCTTTGTATGTGTTTTGCTGTTTAATTCCTGACATGATTATTTTGGATTATTGTGATGCTTTGGAAGGATTCCCCCTCTCCCTTTATTTTGTTTCCCTTTCACTACTTACTGTGAAAGATAGTACAGCTCCTTTCCCAAATCATCTACTAACATCTTATAACCCTATAGTTGCCTTAAACAACCTCTTCTCTTAAACTTCATGCCAATCCGCCTGGGCATGCTCCCTTGTGCTATGTGTAATAATTGCTCTGTGTTTCTGTTGCCTTCACCATACGGTAAGGAATCATAATTAAACAGCATGTAATGGTAGTAGACAGAAGACTTTTGTTCAGGGAAATTTCTGCATTGGGACCATTTCTTCTTGCACTGACTGAAAGGCCCAACTGGGAGGTTTGTGAGACAACTCACAAACCATAATAAAATAAAAAGAGGTGGGGATAGAGCAAAAAGAAGATGGGAATTTGAAAAAAATGTACTTGGATACTTGACTTTATTCTTTTGTCTAGACTTTGGCCAGTTATTTAACTTCATCTTTTTGTTCCTCAATGTCAAATTAAGTGAATGATAGAAGTCATCCCCAAAGTCTCAAGGAGAACAATCTGAGGTAATGGGGAGTAGTAGAGTATTAAGATCATGGATACTAGGGAAAGACTAGAGGATGCTATTCCCATTTCTCCCATGAGCTTTCTGATCTTGATCAAGCTCTCAGTGCTTATAATTAATCCTTCATTTGTAAAATAGGAATCATATTTTTATCTACAACAAAGGTAGATTATGAGAGTTAATGAGACAAGGCTGGTGTCATGTAAATACTTAGTAAATGTTAGCTATTGATACTATTATAGTGTATGTAGAGTTAACAATCATTCAGCATTTTTATTGGGAAGCATTATAACACTGTAGTACCAAAAGCACAAATCTTAGAGCCAAACACCCTGGAATAAAATCTCAGCTCTGCCATTTATTAGCTTTTATCTCTGATTAAGTTCCTTAACTCCTGTGTCTATAGTTTCTCATTAAATGGGATTATGATAGCCCCTGCCCTGTAGGATTGTTGTGAAGTTTATTTAAGTTCATAAACCAAAGCACTTAAGATAGTATCTGGCACATATGTCTGCCATTTAAGTGTTTTCTGTTGCTTTTATTGTTAAAATTTTGTTTTGAGAATAAAACATGCACTCTAGATGCTGGAATATGGTAGTGACCAATATAAACCCAGTTCCAGCTTCATGTTCCTCAGAATCTGAAGGGAAAATTGGCATTGTCGAGACTGTGTGATAGTAACCAGGCCCCCCTCTAAAGTGGCAGGGAGGATCTACTGACAAACAAATGAAGCAGGCTACAGTCCTGAACACTTGCATTCTCCTGATTGCAGCATCTGTTATTTGTACAAAATGTCTTGCTTTGTCTTACAAAACCCCAGGAATACCTACAGAGGCCAAATTAAAATAGCTGGAAGCTATTTCAATTATGCAGTATCAGCGATGAGCAGAGGTTCTTTGCAGGAGCCACAGGCTATGACCAGGGCCTAGGCATTTACAGACTTGACAAAAACCTCGGGGAAAAGCATTAGCTGCCCAAGTAGATCTGTGATGTTGGTGAGTAGGTGGCAAATACCATTTAGCAAATACCTCCCCCATCCTGAAAGAATATGTAGAATTTCTAGAGACAGTATTTTTACTCATAATATTTAACTTATTTGGAAAGTTTAAATGAGCTGAAAGAGGCAGCATGTTTTTTAAGTTTATCAAAAGGGAATTCAAACGGGTATGAAGCACTGGCACAGGAGCAAGAAAGCTTAAGGCTGTTTTTAGTGAATAAGGCTTGCCTCATAACCAGGAAGCTGCATGTTTAGATTAGAATTTTTCTGCCATTTTTACAGTGTAAATAAAACTCTCATTTTATGATTGAGGCTGAAAGTGGCTTACCCAAGACCATACAGCTAGTAGGTTAAGCAGTTAGTATTCAAACTCAGGTCTTTGGATTCTATGTCATGCTCTTTCTACTGCCCCATGTTGTTTCATGGCCTTAGCTACCCTTTCTGATTGAACTTCCTAAGCCAGTAGATCATTTTTAGCCATTCTTATTATATCCTTGCATTTGGCTTATGACTAATCTGATGCCTGAACACTCACATTCAACTGACTGTGGAGCTGCAAAGAAAGAATTTTAATAACATGTCACTCTACCCCTGTTACCCTGCAACAGAAGCTAAAATTCTCTTTAGTTCCTTGTCATCCTTAAATATCTAAAGAAACAACAAGAAGGTTCAATTAATGTAGTTCTAAGATCTTGCACATACTTTCCATTTTTGGAAACTAGAAAAGGTATTGAAGGCTGACAATGATAATGTGACATTAGTTTAGTAGGCGGGGGAAGGAAGTTGTGGACTGAAGTTCAGAATAGGGTAGTTGAGGTTGCCAGTGTTTTAGTACTATAGGTGCCCACTTCTTAGCTGCATGATCCAGATCTGCCTTTCTAGGTCTTTATTTATTATGTTATGAATAGTAAAGTTGAACTCAAACCTTTCTGAGATCAGGATAGATTCCATCCATTATCCATAGATTTTCTTCCCTTTTATCCAGTTAGATTAGCCTAATAGGGCCCACTTTTTGAGCACGTATCTCACAGATAATCTCAGAATTTGGAATACAGTTCATAGGAACCACTACAATGAATATCTCTTCTCTGAGGAGGATGAGGGAAGTGTTGATAGGAGGAGAGGCTAGGCTAAAAGGCCACTCCAAGAGACTTATCAGATCTAACATAGACCCATATGTGATTTCTTCCATTTCTTTGCTTTTTTGACTTATTATTTATTTGATGTCCATAAATATTTAAAATAATATAATGTACACTCATGTACTTACTGTTTAACTTAAATGATTATTTAAAACTGTAAACTTCCTCCCCTTATACACTTCCATTTCCTTCTTCTTTCACCTCTTCCCATTTTCTGATTTATACTTTTGATTTTGGCATATATCATTGTCAAATATTCCTTTATAACTTTTGTATATATATATAAATCTTAATATTATATGGTCACGCTTTGTATGTTTTCAGGTGGAATAGATATAAATTAGATAGAACTATACAGAAAGGAGCTGGACTCAGTGGCGCATGCCTGTAATCCCAGCAACTTGGGAGGCTGAGGCAGGAGGATCACAAGTTTGAGGCCAGCCTCTTCAGTAATTTAATGGGGCCCTAAGCAACTTAGTGAGACCCTGTCTCAAAATAAAAAGGCCTGAGAATGTGGCTCACAGATAAGGTCTCTGGGTTCCACCCCAGTATACACACACACACACACACACACACACACACACACACACACACACACACAAAGGAAACCAGGGGAATAATGAACATGAGATTTAGGGTAGAGTATACCTTGGGTCATTGCATTTGGATTGGGGGCAGGTTCACTAATACTGATTACATTATTAAAAATGTAAGTAAATAAGTAGAGAAATAAGAACACTATTCACAAACTAATTTTGAATGTCTCATTGATGAAAATTAGGATTAATCTAGTACTTGAGAACAAAATATCAGATAGGCAACATAGTGTTTATATGCATCTGCAAGTTTGTTTTCTGATACCTTAGTTTCATTGGCCTTCTTGGATTTCTCAGCACATTCCAGACAACAAGCCAGTGCATTTCATATTTCTGGTAGAGTGGCCAATGTTTTCAAAGAGGAAAAGTCCCTGTTAGCAGTGTTTTTGTGGTATGCTGCTTCATATTTCCCAGCAACAGGCTTGCAAACACATTCAAGGATTTATATTGGGGCCTGAGACATTGTTTGGATATGGGGCAACTCTTAGGACACCTAGTTAATCATCTTGTCAATGTCAGACTGGTAATCTAACATGCCCAAATTTAGACCTTAACAACCCCCGTTGATATTCCAAAACAGTGACAGCATTAGTATTCTGTTGTGCTCATATGCCAACTCTCCTGTTACCACTCTGCATGTACCTACACAAAAATACCTTTCCAGGGCTGAGGATGTGGCTCAAGCGGTAGCACGCTTGCCTGGCATGCGTGCGGCCCGGGTTCGATCCTCAACACCACATACAAACAAAGATGTTGTGTCCCTTGAAAACTAAAAAATAAATGTCAATCTTTCTCTTAAAAAAATACCTTTCCTTTCTTCCTACCTAGGATCTAATCCGTAGAGACATCCTGTACTACAAAGGCCGCATTGACATGGATAAATATGAGGTGGTTGACATCGAAGATGGCAGAGATGATGACTTTAATGTCAGCATGAAGAATGCTTTCAAGCTTCAAAACAAGGAGAAAAATGAGGTACATCTGTTCTTTGCCAAGAAGCTGGAGGAGAAAATTCGTTGGCTCAGGGCTTTCAGAGAAGAGAGGAAAATGGTACAGGAAGATGAAAAAATTGGTAAGTAACCTGAGGGAAGATAGAAGAATCTGTGATCAACCTAGAGTTTGAATTGGTTTACATTTTTCTAGAGTCAGAGGAAAGATTTCTGTTACAAACTCATGTAAGCCACTTTGGCCTTTCCTTATTATTAGGTTCTTTTTCATAAATACCAAAAGCTTTCATTAGTCAGAGGTAGGTATGAGTTACCTATTAGATTCCAATAAAGTTACATCAGCAGACAAGCATATTGCACTGAAAGCCAGTCTTAGCCTTTATTCTCCCTAGCATATAAACATTTATGAACAAACACACAAAATCATTCATATATCCTATTCTGTAATCTCAATGAGGTCTCAGCTTTCAGTTTTTATGTACATAATAGGACCTTCTGTAAAAGGGTCAAGGCAGATTTGGTAGAATTATGCTGATGGGATTCAGACAACTTTTTGTGTTTGTATGTAGTGCTAGAAATGGAACCCACTGCCTCACACATGCTAGGCAAGCACTCTGCCATTGAGCTAAATCACCAGCTGTCAACCAACTTTCTGGTCAGAGTTTGGCAATACAATCCTGATAGGGACCAGGACAAAGAACCCTTTTTGATTGTAAGCTTTAAGACCCCCTTTGAATGGAATATGTTATGGGATCAAAGAGATTCTTATATCAATTTTTTATAAAAGCTAAAATATCCTTAAGACATTTCTGGTTGGTGCACCCCCTTTAATGACATTCATTTTACTAAGAAAAATTAATTATTTTATATATGTTAGGCTAATTAGTTCTTCTCCATTGAAATGACTGAACTACTGATAGAAGCAAAGGCTTTTAAGTATTTAATGTTTACAAATCACCTCTGGAGTAAGTATTAATGATTAAGGTATTTTAAATATTAAGTAAATACCCCTAAAGTGTAGATTGAAAGGATATGCATGTATACATTATACTCTGTGGATCTATTTTGAAGTAAATTGTAGAAAATATAACAAGGTATAAAACCTTCATCATTTGCATGATTTAGATTTACAATTAAACATACTTTTTGGCTTGAAACAGATTGTTCCTCTTTTACACAGTGATATAATTTCTCATGCTGTTTCCAAACTCTGGAATTCAGGTGCCTCAGTTATTGGTTTGTGCATTATAAAGTATTACCACATATTTTGTTTATGGTACTGTTTCTGTCATAGAAGTAACAAACAAGCAGCCTTTGTAATTATCTGAGAAGATACACAGTTTTTGTCTTTGCCCCACTCCTTATGAAAATGGAGTTGTTAAAATGCTTATATGCTCAAGTTGCTTAAAAAAAAACCCTGCCTCTAGAAAAATGGGCCTACCCATTGAGTACAGAAGTATTCTCCTACCCTTCCATATTGGGGAACAAAATGGTCAGAGGACAGGAGGGATGTTCAGAAAGACCTGTTAATCTCAGTCTTCTCAGGTATTGGGTAGAATGCACATTGATAACTCACTTTGAGTCTCATTAAAGTAAAAAAATGCTTTTAGCATAGGGGTACTGCATTAAGACATGCTTTGTAGTAATATAGAAATGTTGTTGCTATTTTCCCATTTGCAGACATCAGCAACCACTGATCCTGTTCAGGCTGTAGAGACATTAAAGATTGGGCTGGGGATGTGGCTCAAGTGGTAGCGTGCTTGCATGGCATGCGTGGGGCACTGGGTTTGATCCTCAGCACCACATAAAAATAAAATAAAGATGTTATGTCCACCGAAAACTAAAATATATATATTAAAAAGATTCTCTCTCTCTCTCTTTCTCTCTCTCAAAAAAAAAAAGATTGATCTTAATGTGCAGACTCTAAATCAGTTAGGAGATCCTTCCCATTCCCTCTGGTTCAAATACCATGTCTCCCACATAATCTCTGACTAATAATCTGTGACTTTTTTAAAAATATTTTTAGTTGTAGTTGAACACAATATCTGTATTTATTTTTATGTGGTGCTGAGGATCGAACCCAGTACCTCACATGTTCGAGGCAGATACTCTACCAATGAGCTACAGCCCCAGCCCAATCTGTGACTTTTAAAAGTCTATTTCTAATTTAGAAAAGCTTCCAGAAATTGTTTCCTGATAGACCTATGCTCATCTTTTTAATGAGAGTTTTGCAGATTTTTGTTTTTAGTCTCATTTAAATCACTTTCATTGTAGGAAATTGTAAGGAAACAAAAAACCTAGAAAAAATGAGAAAAAATTAATAATCACACAGAGTACATACAACACAGCAAGAAATTTGTAAACATTTTGTTTTGATGTATCTCCATCTATTCTATTTTTCCTGTATGTTAAAAAAATGAGTGACTAAATCTTTTTATCCCCATACCTGCCTCTTCATGGTACACAGTTATAATTTTGTAACATTTTTCACTCCACATTGTATCATTAGAATTGTCAAATCATTTATTTTTTTTTAATTTTTTGGTGTTGGAGATTGAATTCATGAGCACTTTACCCCTGAACTACATCCCCAGTCCTTTTTAATTTATTTTATTGTTTGGAACTGGAGAATAAACTCAGGGGTGCATAACAACTGAGCCATATCTTCAGCCCTTTTTATATTTTATTTACAGAAGGATCTCACTTAGCGCCTCACTTAGTTGCTGAGGCTAGCCTTGAATTTGCAATACTTTTGTCTCAGCCTCCCAAGTTGCTGGCATTATAGGCATGAGCCACCACACCTGGCTCTTTTAATATTTTTAGTGATTATTTTTATGACTTCCATGTTGATTTACCATAATTATTATTGTTTTTATTTTTAGTTATAAAATTTACACAGGGCCATCACAACCATTTAAACTCATGTAGAAATGTATAAAAAATATTTAAAATTCTTTTATTTTCTTGCTCAGTCTTTGTGAAATAATAAGTATTTGCAATTTGTTGTGCCTCTTTACATACCTATGCTATGCTCTTTAAATATTTATAAATATTTATTTATAAAATTATATATATATATATGTATATTTCAGATTAATTTGTATACACACATTGCAACTCACTTTTTTAAACTTAATTTATCATAAATAACTCTACAGGTAAGAGTATATTATCTGTAACTTCTTATGTCAATCAGAGTTCAAGCAGAGTAGCATAAACAGTAAGAGATATATTACTAGAAATAAAGGCTTCCTAGGTGACTCTGAAATCTGTAGTGCAGTCAGTCAGAAACAGAATTTCATGGGTAAGCTCAAACACATGGGCATAGTACAAAGCTGTCATATATAGGCAGCCAGGAAGGCAAGGTCGTGAGAAGAATGGAATTCTGTGGACATGGGCTGAAGCTGTGTTCCACAGGTGGAATTTCTGTTCTCTTTTGGAGAGACCTCAGCCCTGTTTTTGAAACCTTTCATCATATTCAATCAGATCCACTCAAATTATCCAGGATATTCTCCCTATATCTCCTTGTTTAGGGGCTTTGATTACATCTGTAAAATACCTTCATGGAAACACCTATGTCAGTTAAGGTCATACTCTAGTCAAATACATCAATAAAGCCTTCAAACTTCTTTATTAATTACTGTAAAATATTCCATAGTATTTAGTAGCAACTTATCCCCTCTTGCTAAACATTATGTTTACTTCCAGATTTTTTCCACTATAGATATTTCTGAAAACATATCCATGAATGAATCTCATTATATATTGGTGTTTTTTTTCCTGTAGGATAGATACCCAAAAGTAGAATAACTGAGTGTGGGAATATGAGCAGTTTGAATTTTACTATAATATAGTCTTTCATATTGAATTTTTATAAAGTTACAAAAACTACATTCCCAATATCATTTTGTAGCTATTCGTTTCTTTACACCCACACCAGCACTAAATAGCACCTATTTGTTTTCAGTATGTTGTTTGTCAACGATTAACTTTTTTTGTATGCTTGCTAGGTATTTGCAATTCTTTTGTGAATTGCTTGTTCATACACTTTATGTTTACTTTTTTGTGTGTGTGAATATAAATTTGTGGGCTGGGGTTATAACTCAGTGGTAGAGCACCTACCTAGCATGCATGATGCCTTTGGTTCTATCCCAGCACTACAAAAGAAAGATGGTATTTATAAATTTATAATTTTATAATGAATCTATATAATGGAGGGTAGTACATTATTAGTTTTGAATTTTTTTCACATATTTTCCTGAGTCTGTTACATGTCTTTTGAGTTTATGATACTTAAATTTATAAAAATTTAATTTGTTTCACTTAGCATAATGTTTTCCAGGTCCATTGATGTTGCGGCAAATGATAGGATCTCCTTCTTTTTAAGCCTTCTGGTTTGAGTTTTTTTGCATACCTTAAATGTATACTATAACATTTAAATAAATAGAAACCTTAAAAATTTTAATTTGATTACTTTGATAAATGTCTATTTGGCTTCTAAGTTCAACTTGAATAAGTTGTTCTCTCCATGAACACTTTGCATATTTCTAAATTTCCTTTTGATATTTTTGTTTATTTTTTAGAGCTGTATTCCATCTGAAATTTACACTTTGAATATGATGTGCAGGAAGGGGTTACATTTTGTTTCCTTAAGGTGAATAACCAGTTACACAGAATCATTTATTATATCAATCATTTCTTTCTCACATAATTAAAATGCTAGTTTGCTTAGTAGCTCTATGTACATACTTGGACTTAGACTTTCTACCCTGTTCTATTATTATATTTGTCAATTCTTGTGTCAAGACAATACTTTCAAAATCATAGTAGATTTCTGTAAATTTTAATGCCTGGTAATATGAATTCTTAATCACTCTTCTTTCATATTGTTTCTTATCAGTTGTTAAATCTTTATTCTTTGATATAAATATCAAATTTATTTTTTTCTAGGCCAAAACAGTTTGGATTCTGATTGGCACTGTTTTAAAAATGTTAATACTTGAAGATTTGGAATTTTTATTAGGTTTTTTCATTCAGAAATATGGCCCTTTTCTCTTTTCATCCACATCTTGTTCTTAGCTACTTCAGGAAAATGATGATTTTTAAAAAAATTTTTTTTAGTTGT